CCACAGCAAGCCGCACACTGTCACACTACAATGGCACGTGCTGGCCGCACGGGAGGCCATCAAACCACAGCAAGCCGCACACTGTCACACTACAATGGCACGTGCTAGCTGCACGGGAGGCCATCAAACCACAGCAAGCCGTACCCTGTCACACTACCATGGCATGCGTCACACTTGGTAATGTGATGCGCAAAACGACTGACTTGTCAGATTCTTTTAAATCAATTAAAAACTTTTTAAAGAAATTAGATCGAACGTTGTGCACGGATGGCTTAAGGACGTGCATCCTGGCCATGTGTGAGTTGTTGCAGAGGCCAACCCAACCAACCCAGGAGAACAACTCCAGTTAAATGGATGACGATGGCCAAAAAATCCTAGCATGCTGAGCAACACGTGACGTGGCACCCATGGCTGGATTGACATCCTTTGATGGCCAGTTGGCCGTGTTTGACGAGTCAAAAAGAGCACATGAGATGCACGCCCACGTTTTCCGCCGCCCTAGCGGCTTTTGAGGCATGCATCCACGTATTCCGCCGCCCTAGTGGCGCTTTCAGACATGCGCCCACGCATCCCGCCGCCCTAATGGGTAGGTGTACAGCGCCCTATCGGCTGAGCTGCGGAGAGGCTGTGCTTTAGCTACGAATGCGACGTTCGCCGCGCAATAAATAACGGAATTGCAATAACTGAAATTGCGGCAAATGGGGGTGAGTGTTTGAGTCTGTGCACTTAATGCTTCGTGCTGTTTCATCTGTTGAATGGATGCCTTATAATTGTAGGTGCCATGGGTGTAGTTTCGCAGAAGTTAGGCTGGGCAATGAAAAATGACGAAACATACTCCTAAATGCACTAAAAAACGGGTTTCTCCACTGATTTGGCACTTCCCTCCAAAAATGGGGCACTGGAACCTCCCAACTGAATGTGAAACTACCTCCCCAGTAAGATGTAATATTTTTAACATAGCTTGTATTATCACCAAACCGTGTCACTCAATCCTTGGAGTTGTTAGTTGAAAATCTATTAACATCTCATGACGTATGGTCGCGCCTTGGATTGTATGCATCGTCTCAGACCCAGTTACAACAAGCCCAGCTCCGTTTTCGGGCTGGCCAGGCAGGCGCGTGATGGATTCACTTAAAAAGCACCTAGCGCCGTCTAACCAGCTGATTTCGCCGCCGGCCGTAAACGCCCACCGCGCGGCCGGCTATGACGCGGGACTGTGGGCGGCGCGGCGGGCGGCGGCCGGCCCGGCGAGGCCTTGGCCGCCCCGCTGCCTTATTTAGCGGCCTGTTTTTCGGTCGTGTTTTCGGCCGGCGGTGGTGACGCGGTGCCGTGACGTAGCGGCTGATTTCTGGAGGCGATCGGCACCCCCTGGCAGCGGTGCTGGCCGACCGTGCGCCTGAGCAAACAATGTCAGCCGGAAAAAAAACGTGCTGATGGTAATCACGCGGCTCGTGTTGTCGGGTGGCCTAAACAGGAGTGTTGCTTGGCACAGGGTGGAGTGGGTGGTCAGAATTTCAGTTTTTCACATCCGATTTATGGTAACGCATGACAAGATCAATGTGCAAGGCCAAAATTGCTGTTGGAGCTCCCAGTCATTTTGAGAAAGCGACAAAGGCAAATTTCGGATGCATAGGTATCACAGCAATGTGGCTGTAAAACTTGTTCTGCTGCCATTCATCACTAGTCACGTCATGCGTCTAGTGCTTAAGGCACAGTGAGGTGAGTTGTATCATGTCCTAGTAGTATCAGGGCGATTTATTCCAAACATATGCGATGGATGGCAGTCTTGAGTCACTCAGCTGACGCACAGGAGCTCTCTCCACTTGTCAGTGCACTTCCATTAAGGGCTTATGGCATAATTCGACTCATATGAATGTTATGGTGAGTGGTGGAAAGTGCACCTATCATATGTACAGCAAAACATTTCATGCGTGCTTGCCAAGGATTTCAGGGCTGCGCAAACTTTCTCCCAAGATGGCGGGCGGTTCATGTTGTAGCAGCTGCTCATGGAGCATGCTGTATCGGTGGTACAATGTAGCGACAGCCTGTCATTTATGTCATACTGTTGACATATGTCAACAGGTACATTAGCTATGTAGTCCCATGATTTCTGCCCGAGCAACTGAATCCGAGGTGGCAGTAGTTGTAAAGCAGACACTGACTGATGAAAAGGCAAAATGTGTCATGTTACTATCACGACAAATTACAAAATAACGTTAACGAGCATATTTTGTATGCATGTTGTAACGCATCCAGCTTGTTTGCGATGCAACTTTCTCTTTGACAGCTTTGTGATACAGTTTACCCCAGTGTGGGGCAACTTGTCTCATTTGTGAGGACGTCATTTAGAAGTCATTTACCAAAGAAAGCTGAGACGTGTTCTTCACAACTTTACCGTTGTTTACGAAGTTGAAGGTTATACCTGTCTGCACACATCGGGATCTAATCCCTTTTCTCACTAGGCATAGCAGGTGAGCTCAGAGTAAAAACGGACGCGACTTTCCCTCCTTTCTACTGTTACCTTCCATAACTATTAAGTGAAGTTGTCGGTGGTGTGAAGCGTGTCAGTTTTCATCGTGCAAATGCGTGTAAATATAGTTTTTATAAAAAAGTAGTAAAAGAAGTGGTGGTACAAATAGTTATAGGTTAACGATGACAGAAGGGTACAAGACAGCGGTTGGGTCTACCAAACATGTTTACGAGTTTTATTATGACTGGGACAATAAGAAGACGATTCCCCCACTATCTAACGCAATTTCAACAGTTACCTTTAAACCCAACGAATGCAGAGCAACGAAATCATGTCAACTATGAACATCTTTGCTTCGGCTCGGTGCGCTGGCATAAGAATGCATGGCATAAGATTCTGCCGCGTGCTGGTGCACACAAGTGATCCTAACGTTTAATACTCCAGTGTTCACAACATCCTGCGGAAATACTGCAGCGTTGAGCGGACGACTGTCAACTGAACACATCGATAGGCCGTGATAGGTGTGAATCAGTATGACATGACGCATCTTTCTGCATGTGGAGGCCCCTGGAAGAAATTGTGAGACCCCGACATTGTAATGCTGCTGGCCGTATTCTAATGTGCAACTGCAGCCCTGTCCTGGACGTAAGTGTCTGGAGGACCTGTCATTCGTCTGATCAGCAGTGCCTTAATGTCCCAACAACAGTCCCGCCTCGTAGGTCAGAGATGGATGCGAAATTTTCTTAATCTAGCACGCCGGCCTCACATGCTTTCCGCACACTCTCCGTTTGAAATATTCCTTTCCGTCTGCTCAACGTGCGGCTTTGTTTCCGTCGAAATTCTTTTTCGGCCATCTAGTGGCACTATAGTAAACTATTAGTTTAGAATGGCAGCTTGCTACCATATAGGCGGAGGGCCGACTGACCGATTTTGTGATCATTGTGGTCAGGACATAATTTCATGAAATGAATACACAAACCAGCTTTAACGGTCTGATTTGAGTCGCATGAGTTTATGGAAAAAAGTATGGCCAGGGTGTCCTATTCATCAATGTCATAGCCCATAAGCGATGAGTGGCCTCCGTACATTATGTCAAGCATGGGGATAGGGTATTTGATGGAGCCAGAGGCGTCACAATAAATACTTTCAGAGACCTGGGCCCCTTATGCTGACGTCCGTCTCTCCAAGATTTCTTACGGTAAATGCTGTTTAAGTTATGCATGGGGCGTGTTGTATCAGTGATGTAATGTGCGGAGGAGATATAGTTGTATTAGTTTTTACTCTGAGCTCCCCCTGCCATATAAACTTAAAATAGAAGCAAGATTCTCATATCCGCAAACAGCAAATTTCTATGTAGGTTGTTTGTGCGTTTGGGAGGATCATTATGCATTTAGATGATACGATACTACCAGCCTGATTCTTCCTATAGATACTAGAAGAAAGGATATATACACACAGAATATATGTATACACGTACATATATATATATATATATATATATATATATATATATATATATATATATATATAGATAGATAGATAGATAGATAGATAGGTAGATAGATAGAGAGAGAGAGAGAGAGAGAGAGAGAGAGAGAGAGAGAGAGAGAGAGAGAGAGAGAGAGAGAGAGAGAGAGAGAGAGAGAGAGAGAGAGAGAGAGAGAGAGAGAGAGAGAGATATATATATATATATATATATATATATATATATATATATATATATATATATATGCAAGTGTTTTTGAGGGCCTCGGCGTAGGTGCACGTATGAGCCTTTTTTTGTGATTGCTCGTGTTTTCTTATTATGGCTCTCTGCTCATCATTGAGACTTAAAAGTAGCTCGCCGATGTTTGACACCTATTAGTTGTACTAACGTTTTGAAATGACATATTTCATTTTCAAAGGTGCATGCGTACAGCATACGCGTGAAGAATATATGATTACATATTACAGTTAGGTATAACAATAAGGCTTCATCAAGTTCAGTTCACTCGCTAACTTGAATAGAGCCTAAAGTAGTGTAGTATCCGGTCCGCTCTTGCTGTCAGTCCAAACACTAAGTCAGGTGTTTCCGTGAGTATTTGCCCAATACCTCGGTAATAACAACAAAGGCAATAATATAACGTCCGAGGCGACCGAACACGTCACGCCCCCGCCACGCGCCACCACCCAAGGCCAACTCTCTCGCGCAACTGCCACTTGCCTGGAGCGTAGGCGCCCTAAACAACTGCCACACACCACATTCCTCCTCCCTTGGAAGGAACGCTTCCCCTTACATAATTTCAATCAACCTCTCATGTGGTTTCTTACTCCAGTTACTCCGACGCACAGCGCCGCTGGACTCCCCGCGTACATCTGCGCCCTCTGGCCGCTGGCCACTAGCGCCACCTGACGCTCGATCGCCGCCAGCACTCGGACCAGACGGCCCGCCCGCGGCCGCAGCTGTTGTCGCTGGCTGGTGCGCTGAAGGCGTCTCCTCGGACGGGTCCGCCTCCGACGTCCCCTCGGACTGCTCCGCCTCGGATGCCGGTCAATCAGCGTCCAGGTCCACCGAGCCGTCCGACTCGGGTGCTGACGTAGCTGGTCTGGCGTAGTCTGCCGCTGCCGGTCGCGGCCGCAGCGGTGCAGCCGCGCCCGGCTCCTCACGTTGTAGGCGATCTGCCGGCGCCGCCGTCAGCCGTTCGCCGTGCACCCGAATGCCGTCTTCCAGGCGGTAGCTCACCGGTCCCAGGCGGGCCTCGATCCGGAGTGGCTCAGAGAAGCGTGGGCGCTCCTTACGGGGCCGGGGCATTCGCCGGACACTCGCCTGGTCCCCTACGTCGAATGGCGGCGTGCGCGCCCCGCGCCGTCCGTCGGCGTAGGCTTTTTGATAGGCCCGGCGGTTCTCCACCCGTCTCCGCACTTCTGACTCCGACACGGCCTGCTTTTCCGTTTTCAGAGCTACGGTGTGCAATTTTTGTCCGCAGCTGTCGACCGTGCAGCAGCTCGGACGGGCTGACGCCGGTCGTTGCATGCGGCGTGCTGCGGTATTGTTGCAAAAACTTTTGCAAATACCGCGCTCTTCCCTCGCCGCTCTTGTCCGCCGCCTGGAGTGCCGCCTTCACCGTCCGATTGGCCCGCTCCACCGCCCCTGACCCGGCCGGGTGATAGGGCGTGACGTGGATGTGGTGCGTCCCCACGCTCCGCAGGTAGGCTTCGAACCCTTCTGAGCCGAAATGGCTCCCGTTATCCGATCCTAGCTCTCTCGGGTAGCCGTCCCGGGAGGCCAGCGTCTCCAGAAATTGGACCGCTGCCTCTGTGCTGGGCTCGGCACAGAAGTCCACCTCAATCCACTCTGAGTAGTAGTCGGTGAGCACGACAGCGAACCGCTGCTGTCTCGGCGCCTCCATGGGTCCGATAAAGTCCAGCCTGACTTTATCCCATGCTGCATCCGGCAGCGGCACCGGTTGGAGCGGCGTGCTGTGGGTGTTAGCCGACTTGTCCAGCGCCGCACACACTTCGCAGTTTTTCACGGCATCTTCGATTTCGGCGTCCATCTTCGGCCACCAGTAGAGGTCTCTGGCTCGCTGCCTCGACCGCACGATTCCCTGATGTCCTTCGTGAGCCAGGGCTACCATCCGTGGTCGCAGCGCGGCAGGCACGACCACTCGTTGGCCGCGCACCACCATGTCGCCCACCAGGCTCAGCTCCTCTCGGTAGTGGAAGAACGGCTGCAATTCCCCCGAGCAGTTCCGGCGCCTCCGCGGCCACTGTCGGGGAATCTGCCGCGTCCGCTGACGTAGCGCCGGGTCCCGTCCGGTCGCAGACAGCAGCTCGTCCCGCTGCACCGCCTCGAGATGGGCGGTCACCGCAGCTACGACGTCGTCTTCCACGTCGTCTTCCTCCCCCGCTGGAAGTCTCGACAGGCCGTCAGCTGGGTTGCCTCCGCCTTTCACATGTTCCACGGTGAAGTCATAGGCCATCAGACGTGACGCCCACCGGGCGATCCGGAGACCGGTTCGGCCCACCCCCGGTGACGTCATCAGAGTTCTGAGAGCGGCGTGGTCCACCCGGAGACAGAACGGCTTCCCCTACAGGTACTTCCTCCATTTCTCGACAGCCCAGACGCAGGCCAGAGCCTCACGCTCCGTTACACTGTAGCGTCTCTGGGCTGGGTTGAGGCTGCAGGAGGCGAAGCTCACCACTCGCTCGCCCTGCGGGTGGAGTTAGGAGAGAACTGCTCCGACTCCCACCTCGCTGGCGTCTATGGTGACCAGCGTTGGCAGAGACGGGTCGTACATCGCCAGTGCCTGGCTCTTGAGGATGGCCTGCCGCACTGCGTCCATCACCGCCTGCAGAATGGGCGTCCACAGGAACGGTGGCGCCCCCTTCCGCAGCAGACGGCGCAGCGGCTCCACCAGGGTGCTGTCGCTCGGGACGAACCGACTGTAGAAGCCGAATAGGTCCAGCATGGTCTGCAGATCCTTCAGCCCTGAGGGTAGGGGCAGGTCTCGGAGAGCCTGAACCCGGGTCGGGTTGACTGCCACCCCCTGCTGTGAGACGATGAAGCCCAGACACTCCACCTCTCGCTGGCGCATCCCGCACTTGTCCATGCTCGGTGTGATGCGACGTCGCCTGAGCCTCTCCATGACGGCTGACAGCTGCACCTCGTGATGACTGGGTGTCCGAGCGAAGATGATGACGTCATCCAGATACACCTGCACTCCATCGATGCCTCGGAGGAGAGCTTCCATCACCTTCTGGAAGGCTTGCGGCAGGCTCTTCAATCCGCACGGGCACCTCTTATACCGCATGAGGCCCTGATGGGTAATGAACGTTATCAGCGACCTCGAATCAGGGTGCAGCTCCAGTTGGTAGTATGCTGACTTCAGATCCAGGCTGCTGAACACCGTAGCTCCCTGCAGCTGCTCCAGCAGGTCCTGCATGTCGGGTAGTGGATGTCCGCTCGCTTCCACTGCCTTGTTGACTTCCTTGAGGTCCACGCAGAGCCTCAGCTGACCATTCCGGCGTCTTGCCACCACGATGGGCGAGATCCAGGGAGATGAGTCCACTGGTTCGATTATTCCAGCTTGTTGCAGCTTCTCGAGATGCTGCCGCACCTCCTCCCTCAGTGCACAGGGCAGAGGCCGCAGGCGTTGCTGTACTGGAGCCACTCCCTGGTCTGACTTCAGCCTCACTCGATGCACGAAGCCACTGAGACTGGGAAGTTCTTCTGGCTCCCTCTCCTGGACAGCACACGCTGCTACCCCATGGATCACTGACAGCTTCAGCTTCTCCTGCAGGTCTCGACCCAAGAGCAGCACACCAGCATCCACCATGTACAGGGTCACGCGGGAGCTGTTGCTGTTTGGGGCCTGCACTGTCACCTGCACCACACCCTCCACTGGAAGGACTGAACCTCCATAGGCTGCAAGCTGCACAGCAGTCGGCCGGAGTGGCAGGTGCTTGAACCTCTGCTGGTAGGCAGACAGTGGCAGGGTGCTGACAGCCGAGCCAGTGTCGGCCAACATCCTGCGGCACTGGTTGTTCACCATCACATCAGTCCACAAGCCTTGCTTGCTGTCAGAGTTAACTGCCAGCACTTCTACCGCCTGGACCTTCTTCTGGTTCTTCTACACTTGCTTCTTGGCACGCTTCTTGCAGAACTTGCCATAGTGGCCCTTTTTTGGCACTTGAAGCAATTCCTCCAGCGAGCTGGACAGCTTGGATCTGCTGCCTGATGAGGGCCACCACAGTTGGAACACTGCTTGGAACCAACACCCTGTCTCGCAGTATCTACAGCAGCCACCTCCAGCTGTGAGGACACTGATGTCTGGCTCCGAGCTGCTCCCCCAACCAGCTCCTGACGTTCCGCCTCCATCTGCAGCATCTCAGCCACCTCCAGGATACGTGCAGAGGTGAGAGTCGGCTCCCTGCAGGGGCGCTCCCGCAGCCGGGAGTCACTGCAGCCCTCCAGGAACTGCTCCCCCACAAACTGTTCCTGCAGCTCACCGAAGCCACACCTGGCACTCAGGGCCTGCAGGTCAGCGAGGTACACACCTGGGGACCGGTGATCCTAAACACATCTTCGGAACAACATCCGCTCAGTGTGTACTGCCTTCTTCTCAGGGAAAGGCTTCTTGAAGACTGTAGACACTGCCTCTACTTTTGAAGTTGGGACAGCTCCACTTTTAAAGCCGGTACCCTCCTCAATCCCGGTAGCCACCTCCTGCGTCCCGTTCGCCGCCCGCTGCGCCGGGTCCGCCGCCGCGAAGTAGAGACGGCGAGCGTCCTGCCCCACACAGTGCAGAATGAGGGCCTCCCGGCGCTCCTCAGACCAAGGGTCCCACCCAGTAGCCACGACGAAGATCAGGAACTCCCTGAACCACTGGGTCCATGGTAGCTGAGGGCGGCCGGGGGACATCGAAAATGGCGGCGGGGCACGCAGGCTGTCCATGGCGTCGGCCACGTGGTTCACTATTCGTCGCCAAATGTAGCATCCGGTCCGCTCTTGCTGTCCGCCCAAACACTAAGTGGCTTTTTTTACTTAGGTACCTGTACGGCCGACGGAGGGAAGAGCTACGCTGGCTGCGGGGTTCGTGTACTGTCGTGCTGGGGAAATGCTATGAGGCGTCAGCTGACATCGTGACGTCATTGAAAATGGTTTTGCATCGAACGGGTTTTTTTGGGTGGACTGAAGGCCATAAGCCATTTGCTGGCGATATGATGTCACTGGTATTCGACTGGGTATATGACATCACTCGTCGTGAGGTTTTAGGGCTCTTTCGGGTCAAATGAATGCCGTAGGGCATCAGCTGACGATATGCCGTCACTGGTATTCGATTAAACATCCGACGCAACAGCCCTCAATCCATCTTTACCTTTCGTACCCGTCTGTTGCAAGCATTTGCGTGCCGAATAAAGGTTTGACCGAATCACCTGAATGTGTTATGTCACCAATTACCACTTGATGCGAGTGCACTTAGGCCCCACGGCCACGGTGTATCATGTTTCGTGAAGTATCATCGGATAGCGTGACGTCACTGATTTCGACTAAATATTGGTCGCAGCAGGTCATGCCCCATTCTTACCTTCGTACCTGTCTACTGCAAGCATTGGTGTGCTGAATGAAAGCTACCAAATCACCTGAGCGTGTGACGTCACTGGTCATGAGTTTCACCGGTGTCTTTGGGCCCACTGAAGACCATATGGTATCAGCTTTGCGGGCTCTTTTGGACCGGCCGAATGCCGTAAGGCATCAGCTGACTGTATGACGTCACGGATATTTGGCTGAACATCAGGCAACAGGCCATGCTTCATCTATACCTTTCGTACCTGTCTGCCGCAAGCATTGGCATGCTGAAGGGAGGCTCTGCCGAACGACTTGTGTATGTGTGACACCACTGGTCACCAGTTTTTATGGATTGTTGGGGACCAACTGAAGGCCATACAGCATAAGCTAACATTGTGCCGTCACTGGCATTCGACTGTGTGTGATGTCACTGGTCATGAGATTTGACGGCCTCTTTTTGACCGACGAAAGGTCATACGGCATTAACTGACGATGTGACGTCATTGGTATTCGAATAAACCAGGCGCGACAGGCCATGCTCCACTTTTTCCTTTGGTACCTGTCCATTGCGATGATTGGCATGCTGAAGGAAGGCTCTGCCGAATTACCTCAGTGTGTAACGTCACTGGCCATGAATTTTTATAGACTGTTTTTAACCCACTATAGGCCATCCTAAATCAGCTGACCATATGACGTCACTGGTTTTCGACTAGACATGCGTAACAGGCCATGTTCTATCATTGCCTTTCGTACCTGTCTACTGCAAGCATTCGCGTGCTATATCAAGGCGATGCTGAACCATCTGAGTGTGTGATGTCACCGGTCATGAGTTTATACAGGTGCACTTGGGCCGCCCAATGTGACAAAGCATCATATCCCGTGAAGCATCGCAGGATGATATCACGTCACTGGTATTCCACTCAACATCAAGCGCAACATCCCATGTTCCATCTTCACCTTTCGCACCTGTCTTTCACAAGCATTGGCGTGCTGAATGAAGACTCTGTCGAATCTCCTGAGTGTGTAACGTTACTGGTTAGGAGTTTTTACGGGCTTTTCCAACCCCCTATATGGTATAATGCATCAGCTGACGATACGACGTCACTGGTGTTCGACTTAACATTAGGCGCAACAGGTCATGTTCCATCGTTGCCTTTCGCACCTGTTAAAGAATTCACGATCTGAATGATGGCTCTGCCGAATCACCTGAGTGTGTGGTCATGAGTTTTTACAGGCTATTTTTGACTGGATGAAAGCCAAAAGGCATCAGCTAACGGTATGTCGTCACTGGTAATCCACTGAATGTGTGACGTCACTGGTCATGAGTTTTTATGGGCCCTTTTTGGGCTGACCTAAGGCCATTAGGCGTCAGACAGCGATATGACGTCACTGGTATTCAATTTAGTATCAGGTGCAATAAGCCATGTTTCATCTTTACCTTTCGCACCTATCTACTGCAAGTATTCGCGCGCCACATAAGGGCTCTGCCCTATCACCTGAGCGTGTGATGTAACTGGTCATGAATTTACACGGGTTTACTCGGGCTGACTGAAGGACATCAAACATCATCTGACGATGTGACGTCACTGGTATTCAGCTAAACACCAGGCGCGACAGGCCATGTTCGTCTTTACCTTTCGTACCTGTCTATTGTAAGCATTGGCGTGCTTAAGGAAGACTCTGTGAAGTCTCTTGAGTGTGTAACGTCACTGGTCATAAGTTTTTACGGGCTGTTTTGAGCCTCCCATAGGGTAAAAGGCATCAGCTGACGATATGGCGTCACTGGTATTTGACTTAACCTCAGGTGCAACAGGCCATGTTCCATCTTTACTTTTCGTGCCTGGCTACTGCACGAATTCGCGTGCTGTATGAAGGCTCTGCCGATTCACCTGAGTATTCACCCACACTCAGGAGACTCGACAGACCCTTCAATCAGCACGCCAATACTTGTAATAGACTGGTACGAAAGGTAAAGATGGAACATGGCCTGTTGCACCTGGTGTTAAGTCGGAAACCGGTGACGTCATATCGTCAGCTGATGCATTATACCGTATAGGGCTTGAAATGAGCCCGTAAAAACTTTTGACCAATGACGTTACACACTCAGGAGGCTCGACAGAGCCTTCATTCAGCACGCCAATACTTGTAGTAGACAGGAACGAAGGGTAAAGATGGAACATGGCCTGTTGTGCTTGATGTGAAGTCGAATACCAGTGACGTCATATCATCCCGTGATGCTTCACGGGATATGATGTTTTGTGGTATTGGGTGGCCCAAGAGAATCCGTACAAACTCAGGACCAGTGACATCACACACTCAGATGATTCGGCATCGTTTTGATATAGCACGCGAATGCTTGCAGTAGACAGGTACGAAAGGTAAAGATAGTACATGGCATGTTGCGCCTCATATTTGGTATCATGCCGTTGACGTCATATTATCCGGTGATGCTTCCGGGATACCATGCCTTGTAGCCTATGGTGCCCAAGTGACCTACTTACTCGTCATCAGTGACGACACATACTCAGGTGAATCGGCAAAGCCTTCATATAGCACGCGAATACTTGCAGTAGCCAGGTACGAAAGGTAAAAATGGAACATGGCCTGTCGTGCCTGAGTTTAAGTCAAATACCAGTGACGCCAAATCGTCAGCTGATGTCTTATACCCTATTGGGGGTTTCAAAGAGCCAGAAAAAATCTCATTACCGGTGACATTACACACCCAGGAGATTCCAGAGCCCTCCTTCAGTACGCCAATGCTTACAATAGACAGGTGCGAAAGGTAAAGACGAACATGGCCTGTCGCGCTTGGTGTTTAGCTGAATACCAGTGGCGTCACATCGTCAGATGATGCTTGATGTCCTTCAGTCAGCC